TAAGACAACTGACTTTTGCTTGCAATTGTCATTAAGTCACTTTCCTTCATTTCTCATGATACATTATCACCCCTAGTTTGTAGATGATGTGGAACTAGGTATATTTTAGGTTACTTTCTTTCTGGTTACATAGATAAGAAAATCTTTAGCTCATCAGGAAACTCTTTCTAGTCTATATTTTGCAACAGATAATTTCTGATTCTCTGCTAAGAACTTACTCACTCAACTTACCTTGCAAGATGAGGCAGCTGTCCTTATTAGGCTGTCCATGTGTAATTACTTTTTTATTTTAATTTTCTCTAATAATTTTAGGTTCTATCCATTCATTACAAATGTTAGAATAAATTTCACTTACAGATTGGTTTCCTAGTGTATTAATGATCCAATTCAAAGGTAGAAAACCACTGGAGACCACCTGAGGCTGCCAATCAATCAGTGCACATTCATTGATTGCTTATAAATATGTACAAAGGTAGAGAAGATACTGTCCTTGCCCTCAGAGAATTTACAAAATAGTATATAAGAGAAATACATGAAAAGCTAATATATAAGTCGCTGTTTTAGAGGAAATGTCAAAGAAGCACAAAATACCGTAGACGACTTGAGGAATCAGGAAAGCTACTCTGAAGACATGGACTTTGAAGAATGAGCATGATTTTGACTGGCAGAATTGGGCAAAAGCACATTCCAGATATAATTACTTTTTCTTCTGGCTTCATGCAGAAAATAATTATGTGGGTTTTTTTGCTAATCAAAGTCAAGTTCTCAAATGACTTACAAACATTTTTATATATTTTTATTCATTCTACTTACTTGATTGATTACAACTGCTAGTGGAATTTGCATATTCATCACTTATTGCCGTGAAAGTGTGTTGACCCAACTGACAATATTATGATTTTCAATGACAAAAAGTTTCAATTGTTTTATTCTAAATCAGTGCTTATCTACAAATTGTCAATTTCTGAATATAAGACAGTACACACAATGCTGCCTTGGAGCTAATGAAATAATTGTGTGTATAGTCACCAAAAGTTCTATCGAGAAAACAAAAAGCAAAACCTTTTATGTAAGGTTGATTGTTGTGGAGCTGCTTTGTATATTGTAGGCAAATTCATCCATTCTTTTTTCTTTTATAAAGTCCTTTCCCACTTCCTAGGGATGAATATACATTAATACTTAGTTTATAAGATTGGGCTTTAGAAGACGTGCTCTAGAGCTAGACTTTCCCAGTTCAAATTCCCAGATTTGTAACCCTAAGCAAGTTACTTAACCTCTCAGTTGTTCTATCAATAAAATGGAAATAGTAAGAGTAGCAACATCACAGTGTCATGTGCATTAAATGAGTTAATATGTGAAGCATTGTCATAACAGCACACCTGGGAAATCATAAGTCATCAATAAATGACAGTGAACTTAGCACACAGTAAGCATCATACAAATGTTTGCTCTTATAATTATTATTGCTGTAAATGTTAGATGCACTTTTAAAAAAGACAATGCCAACTGACAATAACCCAAATTGACATGGCAGAAGGGTTAAGTGGATGACAGAATACAAAGTATTTATTATCAGCTTGTCAGGTGAAGACATTTCCAAGAGAATAAAACTTTAAATGTGGCTGATTCTGTAAGTCGGAAATTTACAAGTGGTCTATGGCTCATTAATGAAGCACTAAATTGGACAATCAGTGTTAATGGGAACTGCACAGTAAAAGCACTACACATCAAGTTGAGTCTCTGGACTAAATGTGTAATCACAGACTTCAGCAATTTAGTTCCAAGCACTCTTTGTGTCATCCTTCAGAATAGATAGATGGATAGACAGATAATCTGTATTTTCAGAGGACATTTTAGTTGTCATTTATTAATTGTATCTTACCTCCTTCAAAGAAAGAAGTACATTGGAAAAAACACAGTTAAAATAGATGGGAAAAATATTAAATTATAGCACAAAGACAGAATAAAATTTATCAAAGAATTAAAATAATACAGTTATTGTGATTGAATATAAAATTGAGTTGAAAACTTCCTGGCCATCAAGGATAAGAACAAGTACTTAATGTTATTGTTTACTCTCTTAGCAAGAAATATTTCATAATCTATTTCTCTTATATACCTGACATGCTTTCTCTGTTAAATAGGTAGGAAACACTCTGTAAAGGTTCCACATTCATTCCCTCACTGCTTTCAAGTTTTGTTTTCCCTTTATTTAATATGAGGAACTGGCCATTTGTTGCAGAAGTTTCTTTATCGTGTCTCCTAGGAAACCCAGCTAATCCTCAAGCAAATAAGCCTATTTGTATGATGGCCTTAACTCCCAGACTCCCCTAGAGAGAGATGAAGAGTAGCAGTCTGCCCACTCTCCTTCCTTGAGGAGCTAACCTTTCACTTGTGTGATTAGGCATCTGAAATACATCTCACTTTCCTTTCATAGTGAATATCTCTGGACAGATGATTGACATGACACCTCACAGTTTAGCATCGTGGAGCAGTTAAATCCGACTCCATTACCTGTCGAATTTAGTTTCTTAATCCCAAACACAATGTGCACACAACTTGGCCATATCCAGCTTTTATTTAAAGCTCATGTCACGGTGCTTTATGTAGAGTCAAGCAGTATTAAATGGTGTGGAGTGAAGCAAATGGAAAGATTAATTTTGCAATGTGACACTAAAAGGAACACTTTAAAACAGGGATTAGGGGCTGGGTCTGTTCAGGGAAAATACTGAAACATATCCATTATAAGCCCCAATACCTCAATCTATTGCCATAAGAAAACCTAGCTTTGTAAGCATAGATTCTATATTCCTAGGCAAAAACACACCTAAATTGGAATAAAAAGTTCAACATTTCTAGGTAGAAGTAGTCAGACACCTTTCTAATTTATTTCCCTTCTCCTCTTTTAATCAAAAGTTGTGAGTGTTACATGAAAGGAGAGAAGACTAGCACTCCCCTTGACAAGGGTGGAAGAGATCCCAGGCCTGACAACAACACATACACAGTTGAGGCATTGCCACCTACTTTGTGGCACCCAACCATTGTTTAAATTTAAAGAAACAAAAAAAAATTGTTATAGGAAAACTAAAACCTAAATTTCTATGGAAAAAAAAAAAAGAAATATCTACGAATATAGCTTTTAGAAAATCCAAGCTCAGGGAGCCTTGCAATAAGTCACTAACTTCAAAACTAATCATTACAGCCATTTTGGACAATGTAAGTATTTCATGGCATTTCTATGAATAAAAATACAAGAGAACTAGAATAATAATTTAGATTTTGTTTAGGTTCATATGTTTCCTCTGAAGTTAATTTTTTGAAGATAACTCAAAGGGAGATATTGATATTAAACATAAAGAAATCTGTAAGGATCATTTGAAGACCCATTTAGTTTGTCTTGAAGAGCAGCTGAAGGAGGATATTGATATAAAACACATAAAAAGTATGCAAAGGGTTATTACATAGGGAATGTTTAAAAGATTCAGAGAAGACAGGGAATGGCATGAGTGACTCCAATAAGAATCAAGGGCAAATTTTGTGACAGTTAATGCTGATAGATCTTGGGATTTGTTACCAAGGGAGGCAGAGGAATCTCATATTTTCAGAAATAATTTAAAAACATGGAAGATGCTCATCTCACTGAAAAACAAAAGTTATTGAGTTTCTACTCCAATGAGAGCATTGTACAAGAGAGTCTTGGGAGGATTCAAAAGAAATAGAAGGTGTTCTCTAATTTTTGAAGAACTTTGAGTGGGAGGATGGAAAACGTAACTAAAAAAATGTTGAACCAAAGTTATGTTGAGGAACTATTTAAGTTCAATACTAGACAGTCATGGCAGTCAACACTTCTTGATTAGCCAATATAAAAAGACACACTGATTGATAGAAAAGAGAGATGGCCTTCCAGGCAAAGGAAAGCTTGTGGGAAGTGGAGGGAAGGACTTAATGACCGTAAAAGTACTGAATTCCACAAAAACTATATTGGTATATTCTGTTTCCTCCTCTGAAGAAAGAGAATAGTAATGATTTCTTACATGGTGGTAAAGGTACAAAAAGGGATATATATATATATATATATAAACACTGTTCAAAATATTGTCCAATCAAGAATTCAATAAATAGAAACCGTTACTAATAACTATCATCATCATCATCTTCATCACCTACTTCTATTATCACACTATTGTCCCTATCACCAGTAAGAGAGTTGAACTTAACAGGTATCAGTTTCTGGTATTCCACTTCTACTGTGTTTTCCATTAAAGCTGTTTCTTCTAACCAGCTCACATCCCTGGTTAACATGCCTAAAGCTCTGCGTGTGATTTCTGCAGTGTTGAGCAGCACTTGATAAACTCAAAATAAAAGAGTCTCTCATTTCATTCTAGGTTTAACGTGAGTCGCCCTTGTCTGAACAAAAAGAAACCTCAAACCCAAACTCCTGACCAAACAAATCAACCAGATGAAGACATGTTAGTGTTCGAGATTAATTTTTACCTGGCATTTCCTCAAAGAAAAACATACACTTACACGAAAGATGTTTTTCGGGTTTTTTAGATTTATATTTCTCATTTTCATGTAGGTGGTGAATGATTTTATTAGTTGTATTCACTGAACCGTATAATTTGGCAACTTTGGCAGATTTATCCTTGTGAATTCTATCTTCAATCAAAAGCAAAAAGTTCATTGCTATGTTCAAAATGGTCCTTAATGAATGTGCTAATTGGGAGCACATTGACACATTTCATTTGCTTCTGTGTTTATTTCTAAAGAAAACTAGTAAATTTGCTTTCTTGTGTATGTTTAACATTGAGTAAATTTCTACTGTAAGAAAATCATTTTCAAGTTCCTCACCTCAGCTACAGAGGCTTGAAAGATAAGAAAAATTCACTATCAAGATATTTTTAAAATTGATTTTATTCAAAGGAAAATTGTTTAATAGAAATGACTGAGTACACTACAAGTGTCTTCTATCTTGTTACAAAGAGGAATTATTCATAACATTGACCAATGAGAATCTACCAAGCCCCTGAAACTTGGCAAAATCCCACTCAGTTTCAAAACACCTGATAAAAATTCACAGGTTTAGTGCACTTGTATTTACTTAAACCGAAGGATGCTTCCCAAGGTAAAGAAAACAAAAATATTTTCTAGCGGAATCATTCTTTTAAAAGGGCCCCAGTTCTCAACTCCAGTTCACAGTTACAGACGTTGTTTTTGGGTCCAAAACTGACAAAATGCTTTCCAATGTTGAAAGAAATCTTGTTTCATTCCTTGGTCCACAGGCATCCTCTTATTTTGGACCCTTATGGTATGGACTTGAATGGTCAATGAGAAACAGGATACTCCTCTTGAAGTAGAATTAGAGATTCTGTCTCATTCGTCCTTTAGGACCCATTAATTATGCTATTCAATAACAATTTGGAGTTTTGCTAATTCAGCTAAATAAAAATGAGAAAAGCAAACCAAACTCTATTAGTCTGGGTTCTCCAGAGAAACAGAGCCAATAAGAGACAGACAGATAGACAGATGATAGATAGATAGAGATCGATAGATAGATAAAAAGGGGGATTCAATAGAGGAATTGGCTCACAAGATTATAGGCTGAGAAGTCCCATGACAGGCTGTCTACAAGCTGGAGAAGCAGGGAAGCCAGCAATGTGGCTCAGTCCAAGCCCAAAGGTCTGGGAACCAGGGGAGCCAATGGTGGAACTGTCAGTCTGAGGCCAAAGGTCTGAGCACCTGGGTGGCTGCTGGTGCAATTCCAGAGTTCAAAGGCCAGAGGACCTGAAGTTCTGATGTTCAAGGTCAGGAGAATGAGTATCCCAGCTCCGAGAGGGAGTGAATGAATTTACCCTTCCTGTGCCTTTTTATTCTATCTGGGCCCTCAGTGAATTGAGTGGGGCCCACCCACATTAGGTAAGAGTAGAGAATCTTTCTTACTCAGTCCACTGATTCAAATGCCAAAAACACCCTCAAAGATATACCCAGAAATAATGCTTTACCAGCCATCTTAGTCCAGTAAAGTGAACACCTAAAATGAACCATCACACAAATAAAATAAAATAAGCAAAACATTGACAGCCCTGAATTTTAAAGGAAAGCTTTGGTATAGAATAGAGAACATGTATCTCTTGTTAAAAGACATGAGTTTGAAACTCAGTCTGTTTCCAGCCATCAAAATCACAGACAAATCTTTCAACCTGTCTGGACATCAGTTTTTTAATTCATAAAACTGCAGAAAATAATAATCTACTTCAGAGTGTGATTTTAAGAATAATGAGATAATACATAAAACACCTTTGCAAACTGTAACAAGCAAGGAATGAATATTAGCATTGCTGTAATTAGTAATAATAACATTACCAAAACTTTTTATTCTCTTTATCACTTCCTGGACATCAGGAAGCCCATCTTATTTGGGTGGCCCATTATGGAAAATATTTGAAGAATATAAACATTAGACATCCAAAAGTCTCACTCTAGCACTTGTAAGGACTTCAGAATACTTTTTTATTCCTACCTTTCCTTTTCTGTCTATCTAAATATTACCAGTTCCTCAAGCTCTAACTCATGTTTTATTCTCTCCTTAAAGCAACCTCTAAAGGGCCAATAATTAAAAAATGGTATACTAGATGGTCCTTCTTATGACATATTCTAAGAAATCAGGTCAGATTTTACCAAGATTATTAAACATCATCCTTACTATTTGGTATCTATCTTAAAATGCAACACCCCTAACACTTAAGAGCATCTAATACACGCACACACATGCATTTCTTGTTGTTTTTCTGTTTGTACCCCAAAATGGGTGTACTGCACTTCAGTTCAATTCTGGCACCAATTACCTGGAGTTAGTGTAGACCCCACGTGTTAAGGGCTCAGTCCTCCATAAGAGTATCCTTATTTCAGATGACAGCCACCCTTTAGGGATCCCTAGCCCACCTTCCCTTCTAACTTACTAGCCATAAATTCAGGAGTTCTCATAATCCCCTCAGCTTTAATAATTCACTAGAACATCTCAAGAAAGTGTTATGCTTAATATTACAGTTTTATTATAAAGCATATAGGAGAGATTTGAAAAGAGCTTCCATGCCCTCTCCCCATGGAATCAGGGCACATCACCCTCTCCACACATCAGTGTGCTCACCAACCTTCACCTCAGTGGGCAGAGTTTTTACTGGAGCTTCTTTTTGTAGGCAAGATTGATTATATGATTGGCCACGTGATTAAACTGGATCTCTACTCCTCCTCCTTCCCCCTTATTCCTAGAGGTTGGGCTGGTCCAAAGTTCCAACTCTCTAATCACATGCTGGGCATTTCTGGTCACCAATCTTCCATTCCAAAGCTATCTAGAGGCCCACCATTAGTCCTCTCATTAGCATAACAAAGACACCCCTATCACTCCGGAAATTCTAAGAGTTTTTGATGTTCTGTGCTAGGATCTGGAAGAAAAAGAGCAAATATATTCTCTATTATGCTGTAATATTTTACACACATGTTTATTATTTGTCCCTCACATGAAAATATAAGTTTCATGAGACCAGAGACTTTGTATATCTCATTTACCTTTATATCCTAGCACACAAAAGAGTTCTAAGCATATGGTGCATGCTCAATATTTATTAACTGAATTAATGAATAAATGTATGGATGAATTATCAACTGAATGGATATATGAATGAATCAATTCTATGTTATAACTCTTTTTATTTGAATTTTACCAGATTTAGTAGTCTTCTAGCCTCTCTTATTAAAACACAACATCTATGATGATGATCACTTATAAACCCTGAGCAAATAACACCTGCATTTGAGTAGACTCATGAGTGGTAAAAAAACAATTCAATTCAACATGTATATATTGAGTACCTGCTATGCTCCAGGCACTGTTTTAGGTCCCATGGGTTTAACAATTGGCCCAGTTGATTTTAACTTCAGCAAGTTTGAAACTCACTGTGATCTTTACCATCCACTGATGATATCGCTGTCTCATGCAATACTTGCAGCTTAATCATCCCCAATACCACTTTTATTATATCTTTTCTAGATCAAATACTTGGGATTATATCCGTGGGCTAGTGGACCAAGTTCAAGATCTACAACATGCCGACCAAATTAATCACTCCCATTTGTATTCTCCCCTAGGATGAACACTCTGTTTTTCACAGAAATCAAAATATATCGTATTCATTCCTATTAGTAAGCCCTTGCTCCTTCATTGCACCTTCCAGGAATGCTATTCTCCACCTTCTCTGTTAATCTATATCTGATTCATCTATCTGCTGTGATTCAACAGAAGGCCCCTTTATGGTGGCTTCCTCGTCCTTTCTATCTATAAAACTCTTTAGTCTATTTGTATCTTTAGCACTCATTTGGCACTTATCCTACTAATTATATAGTTTTTATGAATGTGCTATAAAAGATTAGTACTAATATATTTCAAACCTAAGTCAAATGTTAACAGATTCTTTTAAATTAAATTCTCCATATCTGGGAAAGAGCTCTGGAATTTTGGACTCTTATTTTGTATTTTCCTGAACTCTTCTTTTAAGCATTTAGATACCTGGAATTTATTGTCTGAATCTAACTTTTTACTATCCTGCAAAACTAACTAAATAAAAAACAAAATAACCTTAGACACAACCCACTTATAACCATTATTATAGATTTTCTGCTAATTCTTTCCCCTAGAATTTAATTTAACAAGGTAAACTCTATTTTTTCTAATCCTCAGTACCTCAAAATAGATATAGGAGCCTCCTTATGGTTTGCAGTTTCAAGGTATATAAAAACTAGATGTAAGTTTCTTTGGGGCTATTCCAAAATAAGTGGAGTTATGGTGTAACTGTGTATTTGCCATTCACAATAGAAACTTATGTGGGCAGCTTTCATTATAGCTGGGTAAATTTAGATAAATGAAATGTGTCAACTTAGTAATTACTAAATGTTATATGTGAAGCAATTAAAGCATGAATGCTTTTAGACTCTGTTGTAGCTACAGGCTGTTTTTTATGAATTGTGATTCAAAATAATAAAAGCTAGCTTTAAAGAGAGTCAAAGGAAGAACAAAGGTGAAAATACTGTAGGAATCATTCTACTTTCAGGAAGGGTAGATTTTACCTTTTGATAATCAAACATGTAACAATAAAGTGACTTTTTAAAACATCCTCTTCCTCTGTGCATAAAAAAAATGAACAAGGCCTAATACTTTTAATGTTCCTAAGGGTGTAACTGAGGCAGAGATATTGTACTCTTTTATAAATTAAACCATTTTTCAGCAACTGAGGTAAGATAAGAACCCAGGATTCATATATTACATATTAAAACATATCCTCCTGACACTCCTAATATCAGGCCATTTCTCAAAACTGGCTAAGTTTTGAGAATTCTCTTATAATGACCAAAATAATACAAAGTCTGAATTCCCTTACAATGAACAAAATATAGCATACATAAACTTCTTGGCAATAAGGCTATTTCAAACAATAGTAATTTACAGGTGGTGTCCTAAAGCGAGTTGATCAATACTCTTTTCCCTGTAAATATGTTGCAATAAGATCAAGCCATGCATTCATTTTGTTAAGCTCTGTGAATTCTCATCAGTTCTGGGAACTACCAATTTTACCTATATTGATATTTGGCTCCAACTTAAAATGAAAAATCAATATTTTAGAGAAAGAAGTGTGCCTTGCTCTTTAAATATTCCCTTAATAGATAAGTCACAAAGAACCCGTTCTCTATTTCTCTTTCCCTCTCCGTCTCCTTCGCCCTCTCACAATCTTCTCCCCCTCCTGTCCTATCTATAACATAGTGATAACTAACATCTGTTTAGCTACTATTTTAAAATCATTCACTGAATGCTATTTGGTTCCTAATGACCTGTCAATTATGCTCACCATTTGATTGTTCCTTGTCAATGGTATCTCCACTGGGTAATATAGCTCCAGGATTAAGACTATATAGGACATGGCAACAGAAACTATACATTTGCTCCCAATCCCTAATTTTAAATTGGGTTCAAGGCAACCCAGAATAAAGCAACATTTCTCAGCCTATATTCTACGTGGAATGTAAACAGAAGTCCAAAGTCAAAACTCCAGGATATTCTTAAAGAGACATACCCTTTTCAAATCATTTGTTCTTCACACACTCTGAAATGAGAACATGGCGGCTAGACCTTAAGGAGCCATCATGGATCGCAGATGAGAAGACAAGTATTGCTGATAATGAAGCCAGAAGATAGAAACTGAATCTCTGACGGACGGGGGGGGGGGGAGGATACCAGCCTCTGGCCGCTTTCCATTTCTGTGAAAGAAAAATCAACTACTACTTAATTAAACCATTATTATTTGAGGGGTTTCAGTATTTGTGGGTTTCAGTCACATGCCGCCAAACTTATCCTAATGAATATAAATGGGAAAATGCAGTGGCTATCTTTTTTTGTCTGGATATGGGATTTCAAAAATCAAAATGTTAGGTGATCTTAAGAAAAGACTACATATTCCATTGCATTTATCATTTGAATAAAGTTATCTTTTCTAGTCACCTCTAATACTGAGCTCTAGTACCTTAAAATGTGTTTCTAAAATAAAAGCAAAAAGTCTACTTTTTTTAAGAAAAGGAAATCTGTAGGATGCTGACATCATTAAACCTCTATGCTCACACTTTTCAGGACCACACTGAAGCATCCTGGGTGTATTCAGCATTCTTAACAACATGCAATTCTTTAAGCCTATTCAGTCATGAATACCTATTACAATTCTAAGCTTAATCCAAATATCTACCACCTGAATGTCTTCAAGCACTCCAGTCATCCTGGGTCACCTTTTCCTTTAATGTGCAAATAAAACAGCTCCAGTCCTATGCAACTCAGCAGTAGCAGAAAGTCCAGGGAGTCCTTGGAGTGCTTACAGTCTTACTGATCTACAGCTCTCTAGTCTCTTGCTCCCACTCTCTGATTCTCATTTTCATTTTGGTTTTTGAGGGACCCTCTGTTCCTTTCTTTTTTGCCTTACTCCACATGGGAGACCAAACCTATTTTATCTTTTAAGAACACGCAAGGCTGTTATATGTGTATTTCAAGCCAAATTTCTGGTCATATACATACACCATAGCAATTTCTCATTGCCCATCTTTTGCATTCTAGGACCCTCTTTCTGCAGATATCTTCCCCGTTTTCTTCTCTGTTCCTCATCTTCTTGGCCCTGAGAAAACATCTTCTCCATCTCTCAAGAGATTGTCCCCTAATTCCCATTACTTTGCTTGCAAATCAATGTCGTCTTCTTTGATATAATCCTTCATTGCAGTCCAGACTAGGAAGTAAACGAGGGAGGCCTGCAGACTCTCTCCTTTCACTATCAAAAGGATTGTTAAGGTAAAGGAAAAACAGGTATATGAAAGAGAGCCGATATCTTCAGTTATGAATAGGGATCAAAAGATTAAAAGTATTAGCTTTTCTAAACTCTGGACCAGGTTAAGGTTTAAATATCTAGGGAGTCTTTCTCCTAAATATGAAAAATATCTGTTGATGAAAAGAGCAGCTGTAGAACATCTATTCTCCTGTCCTTCAGATCACCTTCTCCAACACTGTGAATTTTTTGTCTGCACTATTCCATAAGCCCATTCCCCTCTACATATAACATCACCAAGGTCTTCTGGGTGACTTCTAGGGCATTGCTCTTTCCATTAAATGACATTGCTTTTTAAACCACTTTATTGAAGTTTCTTTTCTAAATCCATTTTTATCTCCTGTGCAAAAGGCACAGGCATTAATGACCACCTTTGAACAATATGTCTCTTGAATGAATTAATGAGAAGGTGGTCTCATTCCTTTGAGTAAGGACATGACCAGATGGCATTTGCTTTTCATAAATGAAGAGACTCTCTAATCATAACTACCACTTCACAATCGTTATACAGAACTAAAACTCTTTTTTAGACAAAAAACAATCCCAAGAATAAACTCCTATACAAGACATAGTCCCAGAACTTGGAGAATCACTTCAGGGTTTTTTTTTCCCCCCAATAATCATCTATTGGACATCTTTTATATGCTAGTAATCACACTGGTCACTAGAGCTATTTAAAGATAAGTAAAATTTCATTTGAAACTCTGGAGGACACGGGAAAGTGGAAGAGAGATATGATAATGACTAATGTGAGTGCAAAAAAGTGGCCCTTATCCCAGTCATTGAGGTAGAACCCCTAAAGTTCTATGAGGGAGGTAATATGTGGCATGAATCTTCAAAGACAAAAGGAAACAAAAGTTAGCTAGAAAAGTAAGAGCTCAAAGGATATTTTATGCAAAGTAAACAATGAGCAAAGATTTAGAGGATTAAAACTCATGTGCAAAGAGTTTAGAACTGCTATAGCATTCACTGCAAAGTGACAAACGAAAGAAAGTAACCTATGCTTTACTCATGTATTTATTTACTTATTTGAGTCTTTTCTGTCTTCCCCATTAGCCCCATGAAAGTGGGATTTTTGTGTCTTTCTCTTTGCACCTAGAACAAGGCCGGGCAAATGGTAGGTACTCAACAAATATTTGTTGAATGATTGAATGACTCTAAATGTAGCCATGGGGGAAAGTGGTATAGCATAGGAATGAAGAACATGAGCTCTGTCCAAAGAAAATCTGTGAGCATGTATGTTAGAAAACATCTATAAAAATATACATAACAACACTGTCCACAAATAACAAAGCTCTGGATACAACCCAATGCCCATCAACTAAAAAATAGATCAATAAAACGAAGTACATTCACAAAATGGTTCATTACATAGTAATCAGAGTATAATGGTATAGATCAATCTTAGCAACATGTCCCAAAAGATGACATGCATAATGATAGCTTTTTGAAGTGAAAAGCATCTAAAATAAAAATATATACATTTTAGGAATACATAAGATAGCAATAAGACTATACAAAAAGAAAAGAAAATTCAGAATAATAGTTATGAATAATAGAAGTAGGGGAAAAGAAATAAATGGAAGGACCATATTTTGAAGTTTAAATTATTGTCAAGGTCTTAACTTATGTTTGGGTGGCATTTCAGGACATTTATTACATTATTAAAAATAATAAATTGTCCATGCATGGCAATATTAAGAAACACTAAAATAAACACTGAACCAATTTTGTTCAAATACAGCCAAGAAAGAAAAAGGAGGGGAAAAATATATTCCTGAGTACTTACTTTCTTCCAGTAGTAGTGGGTGGGGGATCAAAGGGTATTCTTTACTCTGGAATTAAGTCATGTAGATTCAAATTCCAAACATACAGCTTCTAGCTGTGTGATCTTCCACAAATTCATTTAAGGGTTTATGCCTCAGTTTCCTCAACTGTAAATGGGAGTAAAAACAGTACCTTCATTTTAAAGCTGTTTGGGGATTAAATTAAGTATGTGTATATGCATGTGCCTGGCACACAGTGCTAAGTAAATGTGGTGGTAAATCCCCAGGATAAATAAATATTAGCTGTCAGTCATATAGGACTAGAAAATGGAAGACCTGCTATATTATACTAAACAGTTTCTGCTTTTACCTGCAAAAGTTTTGAGAACTCCAGACAGAAGTTTAAGTCAAGAAATAACATAATTAGATTTTTATTTTCAACAAGTTCCTCTAACTGCAATATTATGCAGGAGGTATAATACTTTTAGCAGGGAGGTCAATTGGTATATTATTACAATAGTTATGAAGAGAGATTACGAAAGTATAAACTAAGGTAATGATAATAGAGAAGGAAAAATGGGGACAGAAATGATGAAACAGTAAGAAAATAGAATCTTGGTGTACAGTTGTATGTAGAATGAGAAGCTTAAAATGACTCCCAAGATTTAGCATCATGGGATGAGTAAATGTGAGCACTGTTCCCATGATTGAAAACATAGAAAGAGTGTAAGTTTCTTAGTGTTGGCACTATTGACATGTTGATGTGAATAAGCCTTGTCAGTAAAGAAAGAACATATTTATAGGGAAACATAAAGAGTTCAGTATTAAATATGTTGAATATATGTAAGCTTTAAGATGCCTATGGGGCATAAGCTAATGCTGTCTAATAAAGGATTAGATAATAAGAGTATGCAATTCAGAAGGAAAGTCAGAATTTCCAGTGTAGATTTGGACTTTCAATTTATATACCACAGGAGATAATGCTTTCATGTAGATGGAGCATGTGGAATAAACAGGATATATGTCTGGAGAATAAACCAACTCAGGATGAGCAGAAGATACTCCAGGGTGATGGTTAACTTTAGGTGTCAACTTAACTGAATTAAGGGATATCCAGAGAATTGGTAAAGCATTACTCCTAGGTTTGCATTAATATATGAGGGTCTTTGCAGAGGAGATTGATATATGAGTCATTGGACTGACCAGGGCAGATCTGCCCTTCATGTGGGCAGACACTCTCTAATCATCTGGGAGCTGGATGGAACAAAGAGGGCAGAGGAAAGGCGATTTCCTCTCTCTCTCTCTCTCCCAGAAATGGGACACTCTTCTTTCCCTATGCTTGGACATCAGAACTCCAGGCTTTTTGGCATTTGGGCTCCAGGACTTACATCAGCACCTTCCTCCCACCTGGATTCTCTAGTCTTCAGCCTCCTACTTAGAATTACACCATCAGCTTCCCTGGCTCTGAGGACATTTGACTGGGACTGAGCATCCTAGAGTCTCCAGCTTGCAGATAGCCTGTTGTGGAACTTCACAGCCTCTATAATCAGGTGAGCCAAATCCCTTGTTAGATCCTCTCTTCTGTATCTATATCTGTTTATTCTATTGGTTCTATTTCTCTGGGAAGCGTTGACTAATACAACCAGTAAATAGATTTTTTTCTTGTCTTATTACATTCTCTAGGACCTCTACTAGAGTGTTATATAGAAGTGATAGCCAGCATTAGTGTGTTGTTCCCAAATAAAATGAGAATGCTTCTAAATTTTTCACCCTTTAGAATGTTGCTTCTGGTAAATTTTGGCAGATACCAAGGAAGAGATTGTTAAAGAGGTTATTTCTAAGAAGATTAAAGATATATTGGA